ATTTCCCCCAATTCCACTCACACGTTAGACCCAATGAGTATATGGCTCCAGTTTCCTTTAATTTTCAGTTCTAGGAGGGGGTTTTCTCTGATGGGCTGATTTTCCTTGCTTTGATGCCTCTGAAATTTAAAACACCAAACTGTCCACTTTTTTCTATGCCTTCTTTCAATCATGAATCTCCTGTTTTCCCAGCAGTTCTGGATCGGTCTGCATGTCTTTCCAAATGCAAACCAACTCTGAAGGTTCTGGATGGGGCTCAGGATCCCACCTAAGGCTCCACACTCTACAAAGGCTTAAAGCCTGCCTGTTTTTTACCGGCAATCTCTAACTTTCCTTTTAGCAAATACAATCAAGTAGAGGCTGAAGGTGGGTTTACAAGCTCTCTGTTATCATAATTTCCAATATTCATTTCTATCACACATGTATGTGTGTTTTACAATAATAGGCAGGAGAAGCCAATATCCATAAGACAGTTAAACACATAAACTTTTTTTTTTTTTTTTAAGGTTTTTATTGTGAATTGAGTGAAAGTTATAGGGCAGATCATCAGTTTTACATTCAACAAATCATACATCTTGTTTCATTTACAATGATTATAATCCCCTCCATATACCATCAGTTAACAGTATTTATATCACATTAGCTTTTTTTTTTTTTTTTAACACTCAGGCATATATAATAATTTACACCACCAAAGAGCACATTCTACAAGTCGGCCTCCTGGCTGCCATCTCTTAGTCCCTCTCTTCCCATCTTCCCATGAATCTAGAGTCCTCAGCTGCTCCCTCTATCCATGTCCCCATCTCTGCCTCCATCTCTGGTATCCCTGCTTCTCTGGATAAGATCTCTCATTCTGCTTGTGCTCTTCACCCGTAAACACACAAACTTTTTAAAACTCTCAAATTCAATCTTTTCCTTTGGATTAACTCTTTTCATATGCAATGAATTTATGCCTCTGGCAGGGTGGATTCTAGTAGACCATAGCCACAGACCAGCTATCTTTTCTATCTAGCCTAACATTGGCTCCAGGCAATTCCAGAAGGTGCTCTCCCCTCAGCTGAAACATTTTATCTCATCCCCCTTCATTCTTTCTCTTACAACAACTCATAGTTTCATAGGTCTGGAGCCATTGTAATGAATCCTGCTTACAGCACCAACTGATTAAATCAAGTAGGGACCATGACTGACTTCCTCTGACTCCATAAGACAAGATGGAAGAGGACCAAACTCAAAATCATTACAAGGCTGATTCCTAGGAAGTGGAGGTCAGATATGCCTCCACCCTATACCAGTGCCTTTAAAAGTAGTCAGATTTGAGAACCAATTAAGAAAACTCATCCTTATGATTTTGTTTCTCTAGAAGCCCACTGTCTCAGTACCACGTCTTCAATGGGTTTTCTAGAGATGTAAAACCACTCACACACACATATATACACAGAAGTTTATTATCAAGGAAATGGCTTACAGTTGCAGGGTTCCAGGTCCCTGGCAGAAAGAGGAGGCTTTCCCACATGCCTATTATATTGGGAGCAGGCCACATACCCAAGGAAGCATCCCTTCAATTGATTGGCTACTCATAGCCAATCATCATAGAGTTAACTATGCCTACTTAAATATCGTCACCATGGAAATAAGTACATCTTAACTGCTAAACCTCTGGAAATCCTGGCCTAGTCAAGTTGACACAGAACCCTAACCATTACAGTCGGCTACCTAGCTATGTCCCAAATGTCTTGGTATAGATGAGTGAATGCCTCCAGTGCTGCATCAGTTTGTTGAAAGATTTCAGTTTGTATTCTATCAATTCATGGACCCTTGTTCTTTGGCAACGCCTTCAGTGCAACTTAGACATCTTCCTTTGGTATCATTGGCTCTTGATCATATGCTACCTCTTGAAATGATTGAACACTGACCATTTCTTTTTGGTACAGTGACTATGTATGCCTTCCATTATCTTTTTTATTGTGAATTGAGTGATAGTTTACATGGGAGAACATTGGCTTTACACCATTGTTTCATTACAATGATTACAATCTCCTCTGTGCATCATCATTCAACAGTATTTGCTTCCATTCCTTCTGTTGTTTGTTTGTTTGTTTGGGGTGGGTGGGTGGGTGTACACAAAAACACTCAGGAATATACAATAATTTAAACCACCAAAGGGTACATTCTGTAAGCCTGCCTCCTGGCCACCAGCACTCAGTCTTTCTCTTTCCATAAGCCTAGAGTCCGCAGCTGCTCCCTCTCTCCATGTCATCACTGATTCCATCTCTGGGGTCACTGCTTCTCTGGATAGGATCCTGCATTCCGTTTGTGCTCTGCTCACTTGATGGTCCTAGGGTCCTCTGTTTCTGGACTGTAAGATTAACTGTTGTTGTTATGTGCCGTGGAGTCGGTTCCGACTCATAGCGGCCCTGCGTAGGGTTTCTGCGACTATAAATCTTTACAGGAGCAGAAAGCCTCATCTTTCTCCCGCGGAACAGCTGGTAGTTTCAAACTGGTGACCTTGTGGCTCACAGCCCAATTCGTAACCACTACGCTACCAGAGCTCCTTGTAAGATTACCTACTCCCCATTTTTGTTATAGAACTTCTACTTTTATAGTTGTGACAGTCGCAATTAGTCATGATAACAATTATTCACTATTGAATCATAAGAGTCTTATCCCCATCTCTTTTCACCAGACCCGTCTAGACAAGATGAAAACTATTCAGTGGGGACTCTACCTTACCCTACACACTCTTAAACTAAACTCCTTCTTGAAAACTTGTAAGCTAGTCACTTCGTGCGTTTGTCGCCCCCTCATTTTACATAGCCACTGTCTACGTTGACTGTCCCTATCTACCCTGTATACAGAGGGGAAAGGATTGATACTTGATATGAAGACTCCTTCCCTCTCAGTTGGTATTTTGAGTTATTGCATCCATGAGCATAGGTCAAGTTCATCAAATTGTAGCAATTTACACTTGTTTCCTTTAACAAAAATTGTTTATCTTTCTCTAGTTCTGATCATTAAGCCACTGAGGCTAAGCCAAGTGGGTACTGTCTGCAAGTTTGGGTGTTCTTGTGCATCTCCCCTCACTTCCTATCAGTTGGATGCTTCACTCTCAGCTCTAGCCCTCCGTAGTTATGTCCTTGTCCCTGGGCTCAGGAGTCCCCAGGTCTCACCTCACTTTGGACCAACCAGCCCTTCCTCTTCTCTCTCTCATCTCCAGGTCAACGGGAGTCTATGAAATGTGGTTGAACTCAGCCCTTATCTTCATTGCTGCCTTTCCCCCTCTTCCACTGACCAGTACACCAATGTGGTCACCAGCAAGCTTACATGCCTGCTCATGAGTTCCCATCTTGGAGTGGGGTTTGTCCTGAAGAGACTTGATTGCTTACCTTGATCCTTCCATCTTCTTTTGATGCTTTCTGCATCATTCAATAATTTGGCCATGTTGTTGCTGCTGTTAAGTACCGTTGAGTCAGTTCCGATCCTTAGTGACCCCCGTATAGGGTTTCCAAGGAGCAGCTGGTGAACATGAACTGCCCACCTTGTGGTTCAAACCCACTTTGCAGTCAAGCACATTAACCCACAGAGCCACACCAGGACTCTTTCAATATTGCAAGTCGAGGCTTGAATTTTTTTGTTCAGTTCTTTCAGCTTGAGAAATGCTGAGCATGTTCTTCCCTTTTGTTTGTTTTTTCACTCCAGGTCAAAAGATACATATAAATTAAAAGAGATGACTTTCAAAGGTGTGGGTGGGTTTGGGTCCCCACAATCACCTGGCCAGGTCAGAGATTCATAGGTGGAGCCAGGGTGGAGAGAAGGGAGAAGGAGAAAAGCACCCCATCTCTCCCTTCTCCTCCTAAGTGATCGTAGTGGGTGGCCACAGGTATAAAAAAGAATGGAGTGGCAGATTCCCAGTCATGTTGGCTCCCTCTAACTCATCCCTTCCCCATCACTCACAGGACTCCATCCTTTTGAGTTAGGACCATCATGTCCCTTGTTCCAAACTTCCCAGGAGATGAGGCCTGAGCCAGCCAGGAACTTCTGGTGGTCAGCAACAGAAAACAACTCTGGTCAACTTTAGAAGAGGGTTCATTGGAAGGACCTCAGGAAGCTGATAGAACAGCCAGGAAGGATGGAGGGAGCCCACTGCCTAGTGGTCCTGATCCACAACTCCTTTCCAAGGTCAAATTCAGGGAAAGGACAAGAGGAAGGATTCCAGGATGGGATGAGATCCCATTAATGTGCTAAGATGCTCAATGAAAGATCTGATGTGTCTACTGCACAGTGTGGAGACATCAAGGCCTGGTCAAAGCAAAGGACCCCTTTTCTAGAGATACCCCTTTATTGAAAGTATGGTATGGGTTAGGCAGCAGAGGGTGTGTTCTCCCAGGGGGCAACTGGTTCACACTCCTTCATCAGAAGGCAGTCCCAGGGGCTTCCTCCATTTGAGAGAGGGCCCAGCAGGCAGGGGCCATTGCCATGTTCATACTATTCCTCAAAGGGCAGCCGGAGAGACAGACAGAAGCAGGCTCAGTTCCAGACATGGTTTATATACACAGTTTATTCCTCCCCGTGCCCCATGCAGCAGCTCTAGCCACGCCCTCTGGTGTGGGCTGGGGTCCCAGGAGGCCAAGCAGGAAAACAGGAGGAAGCCTCTAACTGGAGGCAGCTCCCGGGGCCTCAGCCACCCTGAGATGGAAGAAAAAAGGAAGGAGGAGGTGACACAACACTGGGTCAAAGTACTTGGGAAGTCACAAGACAGGAGACAGAAAGTAGCACTCTGGGGTAGGAAGGAGGATAATGAGGAGCCAAGGTCAGGTCCTGCCCCACTATGAGGGCCGCCCATCCCCCTGGACCCTGAAGGAAGGGCAGAAGTGGAAGAGAAGGATTTAGGGTAGGAGGATTTAAGGTGGGAATGCCTTGAATTCCAGGCAAGCCCTGCCCAAGGAGCCCCCCAACTCTAACCCAGAGAACCCCTGTAGCCAGCCAGGCTCAGCAATGGGGGCCTACAGCTTGGTGAGGTCCAGCTTCAGCTGGTAGGGTGGGGGGTTGTCCTCGCAGGTGTGTGATGGCGGCGGGTACAGGTGCCAGTCTGGCTCTATCACAAAGCCTTTGTGTTGCTCCAGGGTCAGGGACTGCAGTGGGGGTAAGAAGGCAGAGACCCCCTTCGCTGGCCAAGCTCCTTCCCACCCCTGACCTCATGCCACCCCAAATGAAAGTGGGCTTCTCACCCTGTCCAGGTCTCCTAACAACTCAAAACCTTCTCTGCTTCTCTGGGAGAGAGGCTAGCCAAAGCCAGGGTGAGGGAGCAGTTATCCCTAAACCTCCCAGTCCAGTCCCTAGTTGACTCCGCCCTCTTCAAAGCCCCGCCCACCTGGAACTTGAGGTGCTGACTAGGAGCAGTCACCAGGGTGGAGCAGATCAGCCACAGCATCACCAGCACAGAAAGGAAGAGGCAGCAGGCCAGGATCCATCGAGGCAGCCCCGAACGCCTGCCCAACCAGCAAGCACTACTTAGTGGTCCGAGTGGCAGTCAGGGGGAGCCCCCTTCCCTCCAGTACTCATCCCAGCCTTCCACCAGGGTCCTGACACAAACCGGGACATGCAACTGAGGAAGTCGTTGTCCTGGGTCTCTTCAGACTCCACCTTTGCCTTGCTGCTGGTCTTGACTCGGATCTTGGCCTTCCTCACCTTGTCTAAGGGGCCTATGGGATCTGGAGACGGAGACCATTGCTCAGCAGTTTCCAGGCCTTCTCCAGGAGGCCTCCTCGCCAGCCATGCAGAGGAGAAAGAAGAACCAGCAAAATGGGGCATAGGCTTGGGAATGGAGGTCAGAACCATGACAGATGGGTCTTGGGACTCTGAGGGATGGACTATGTAAATCTGGGAGATGGACCATGGAAACCTGGGAGGAAGGTGTGGGACCCCAGGAGTTGAGAAATGAACCATGGTACCTGGGGAGATGATGGATCATGGAACCCCAAAAGATTATGAACCACAAAATTCCAGAAGGTAGAAAGCATAACTCCAGGAGTTGAGAGATGGAGACCCCACTCGTAACACATCTACATATCTGTTTACCAAGAAGACTCATGGAGCAGTGGGACCACACCAGAGAAATCTTGGTGAAGCCAGACCTTACCCACATGCACCTCCAGGGCCTCAGGGTGGGATCCACGCCAGGTCACCTCCACTCGCTGCAGATTGGACCCCTCAGGCCCAGGGCTCTCCACCACAGGTTGCGTCTGGGCCAGGGACAAGACAGCAGGAGGCTCATGAGAAGGTCACAAGGTCCCACACCAGCTGGCACCTAGCTCTGGTGCAGTGGGTGGAGGGATGGGTTGGGAAGACCGCCCCCACCCCACCCCAGACTTGGAGTGTGATTTTAGAAATGCTTGGGGTTTTTTCCCCTGCTACTTGACCTCATTGTCTAGTTCCAGAAGTAGCCAAGCCAACAGCACTGTAGGGATGAGCTGAGGTGGCCACAAAACTGGCCAATCAGGGTAAACCCAGGCTAGTTAGCAAACCCAGAGGGCTGTCATCTGGTGCCTTGGGTATTGATCCTGCTTTCAGGAGGGGAGTACCTGTCTGGGAATGACACTACCACAGAGGAAAATGGACCCAGGGGAGGAATGGATCCTGAGCTGCTGGATCCAGCTGTACCTGAAGCTAGTTCACCCATAGAGTTTGCACTCCATGAACAAAGAGCCAATGTATCACCCTTTTCTACCCAGACCACCAGACCAGCCACCTCCTGCCCTTGGGTGTGCCCTCCAGAGCCCTCACCTGGAATACCACCACCTTCCCATTGTCGGTTTGCAGGTAGTATGTCCATGTGGACGATACAAAACCCTGGGCCGAGTTGACAAAGTCATTGCAGAGAGTGGAGAACAGTTCCAGGAGCGAGAGGGCCCCACTTGGAGCTTCCAGGACCTTTCTCTGGTAACAAGGAGGTCCAAAGCACAGAGATGTCACTAAGGTAGGGCATTAACCAATCGTCCAGAAGAACAGAAAAGGGAGGGTTGCAGAATTCATGGAGATAGGATTTACCTAAGTGGTTTGGGTCAACAATGTCATATAACGAACATAAACTTTGGTCCTGCATTCAGCTTGCTGTATTTCCTTGAAGAAGTGGGTTGCTCTGTCTGAGCCCTAAAATGGGGATGATTCTCATCTCTCATGGAGCTACTATAAGATTGCAACCATACAATGTCTGTCAAGAGTCTAGCACAGTACAAACAACAACTAATGTACTGCAGCTGCTCTTGTTTCAACTTTTCATGGCCAACTTCTCTATTATTTCTGCCATATCTTGGGGGGAGATATCTAGAATAGAGAGAGGAGAGAGTGGCAGTACAATTTTTTGAACAAAGAGAGAGTTTAGAAATGATGGAGAACATTGGTAGAAAGGGAGAAAATATTTTCTGGGCACTGTAGGTCTTTGGATGGGCTAAGTAACTTTTCTGAGACTCAGTTTGTTCATCTGTAAAATGGGGATGCTGTCCCCAGATGCATCCTAGATTCACAACAGATGACAAACAGTGAGCAATTATTGTTTCTTCCCAGGATAGAACTAGGGTGCTCGGGAGCCTGCTCCTATTGGCACCTCCCCTATGAATCACAGTTCCTAGTGTCCCTCCTGAAAACGACAGTGGCCATCAGTCATCTGGAGGTCATGAGGAGTCAGTACGACAACTCAAGGAGCATGGTTAGCCCAGCACCAGGCACACTGTAGGTGCTCAATAAAGTCAAGCTCAGGGTTGGGTGCTAGCTAGACATCCCTGGGTTCAAATCCAGCCTCTGCACAGCCCCAACCTTGGGACCCTAGGCAGCTGCTCCCTGGGCACTAGATAGGGTGGATTCGTCTACCCAGCTCCTCTGGTGACTGGAGAATTTCAGAACAGGCTCTGCTTAGGCCTTGATAAGCCAGAGCAAGATGACAGGAGTGGTGGCAGAGGCTCTTCCCATGTCTCAGAGGGGACACTTAAGGCTGAAGAGGTGACACCACTCAATCAATGGTGGCACCACTCAACTGGGAGACTGGGCAGATGGTGAGTAGGGGAGTGGCTAAGGAGGCAAGAGGCAATTGTGAGTGCCCACCTTCTGCTCTGGCTCCGCCTCTGGCTCTGGCGGCTGGCTCCAGCATCCCTCGCTGCAGGCCTGTTGCTCTGACCCCTTCACATAGGCCTCCACACAGGCTGTGAGCAAGAGAGGCAGTTAGGAGTCGCAACCCCCCCTTCCCCCCAGGTCCCCTCTGCCCTCCACCCCATCTGGCTTGTCCTCACCTGCTTCACATTCTTCCTGAGTGGCGTTGGGCTTGGAGCTCCGCGCTACGAAGCGGCAGATGGAAAAGAGCCGGCAGCCCCTCTCGCAGGCGCTGACCTGGACGGCTCTGTCATAAGGCGACTCAGAGGGGCCGGTATATCCCGCCTGGGGGAAGCAGCAGCTCAGGTCAGGGGTAGGGATTGGAGCAAGATGGGATACAGAGCACTCAGGACAGGTATCACAGGGCGCAGCTCCTCAAGCCAGAAAACCTGGCGTGAACTTGGGCCAGGAAGAAGGATTTGAGCCCAGAAGCGAGGTAAGAAAGCTTGAGAAGGGGGCTGGACAATGGGGGCACTCAGGGTTTGAAAGGATGGAGAAGGAGACTGTTAGGGATTAGGGAAAGAACTCTTGTCACATTTTGGACCTGGGGAAACATCCGGCAGGGGAGAGGGATGGGGATATGACTAGGGTCTGATAGCTGAGAAAACACAGGGAAAGTGGATACTTTCTGGGGCCAAGGAAGAGGAAGGTGGTGAAAATGGGATGCCCTGAGGATTCTTGCGTAGTAGACCTCGGGCTGGGCATCAGGGAGTGAGGTGACAGCAAGAATTTCAGTCTCCGCTTCACCACTCCCATCCCCCCCACCCAACCCCCGCAAGAGGAGCTCTAATCCCGCACCTATAGAAAGAACTAGAATCCCCTGCCCCTCCCATCGGAGTGACCTCCCCATCTCTGGCTTCTCCCTCATCGGAGGAACCCATCGACCCCTGCGCCTGCCCCTATGTGAGGGACCCCCATCACTCACACCTCTATCGGACGACCCCAACCTTCACACTAGACACCATCGGACAACCCCCCCTATTATCCACCACGTTTGAGGAGCTCCATCCCCAACCCTAGACCTCACTGGAGAGATCGTAGATCTCTGACCCTTTCCTCGCCAGAGAGACACCGTTTTACACCACGCTCGGAGGGCCCTGGAGGCGGCGGGGGGAGGGAGCCGGGGCCTTCGTCGTATGCGCCTCACCTGCGAGGGTCGCAGGCCAGGGTCGCGGTCGCGGCACCGCAGCTGGCAGTTCTGCATGTCCCGCAGCTGCGGAACGAAGGGGTCGTGGGCGGGCGGCGTGGGGGCGGTAGGCGACGGCAGCAGCAGCAGCAGTAGCAGCAGGAGCGGCGGCGGCGGCAGCGCGGTGGTCGCCATGGTCGCGGGCACGGGATCCGGGGCGCGGCGCCGAGGATGCGGCGGCGACGGGGACCGGGCGCTGACGTCACCGAGCGAGGCAGCCTGGGAAGGGGGGATGGGGGATGCGGTGAAGAAACGGAGGAGCGCGCCGCGGCACCGGTGGGGTGCGGGCCGGCAGAACACTTAGCCTAGGGCAGGTGGATGTCAAATACCGCTCACCGGTCTGTCCCATTTGGGTCCTGGGGGATGGAGGTGGGTCCCATGACACCCCCTGGTACCCAAAAAGGCCGAAAGAAAGCAAATAACGTGAAGTGAGGCCTCTTTTGGTGAAGAGGGTCAGAGGGTGACTTGAACGGCCACGTGGGCAGTGAGGGGAAAAGCCTGTAGGTAGAGGATAGAAAGGGTGCAAAAGGCCCTGAGGCAGAGAGGAGCTAGTCAATTAGAAGAAACCGGGAGTGGCTGGAGCCAGTCAAATAGGTGGAGGGAGGTAAGGATAGCAGGATGGGGTCAGGGGTAGCCAGACTCAGGAAGGTCTGACGCATTTTCTCATGGGCACTCAGCTCAGAAAGGCGGTAAAGTGTGTGCAGTCTCTCTCTTGCAAGAAGCCTTCCCAGCCGGGGTCATTGCGCGGAGGATATCCCCCAGCACGAGGTGGCTACAGGAGTGAGGGTGGATAGCAATATTCTTACGGAAAGTCTTAGGGGACACAGGCACTTCAGGTTTCCAGAACTGTCACAACTCACAGTCACTGCCCGCAGTCCAATGTGCCGAACCCTGGGTGATCAGCAATAGCTCCCGCTTCCAGTCAGTCCGTCATGGTAATGCAAGCGTCCCTCTAAACCCGGGTCGCCTGCTAAGAAGCCCCCTCCCACCTATGGCTGACGCGTCGAGCGCAGGTGCTTGCGGAGACCACGCCGCACTGCCGCCGGCGTGTCCCGGAATACGCTCCGCCCCTGCAGACAAGGCGGCAGCCACGCGGGGTCGTCGGGTCAGAGGGCGCCGCAGGTTCCGGCTGGGGAGGAGGGGACCCGGGGGGCTGGCGCGCCCCCTCTCCCGGCCAGCCGCCGCGCTTTCATCTGAGAGGCCCGGGCCGGCCCCCACGTGGCTTAATCAGGCGCGGCTGTTCCTACAGGACCCCGAACATCTGGATACTGGCGCGGCCCCTCCCCCGCCCCTCCCGGGCGGAGGCCGTCGCGACCCCGCAGCCAGGGCCTCTTGTCAGCGGTTTGCGGGAGGACCCGGGAACCAACATCCAGCCCACAGCGCGCCAGACCTGCGCCTTTGGAAACGGTCCTGTCCCCCATTTCACAGGTGGGAAACTGAGGTTCCGGGACCCCTAACAGAGCCAGGATTTGAGCCCACACACGTATGCCGATTCCAGAACCCAACTCGCTTGACATTTCGCTAATCATGACTGTCGTTTCATTCATTCATTTCAAACAAAGCATTTCCGGCATTCTTCTTTTAAGTGATAATATATATCTCTACAAGGTAGCTGCTGAGAGTATAGCCCAGTTTACAGATGAGGAAACTGAGGCTCTCTAGCCCAGGTGGCAAGAGAGCTAGAGAAGCAGAGCCCAGCGGAGCCATGCTGAGGGGCGTCGAGATTAACAAGCGTTATGAAAAGCTCAACAGCCTAAAAGGACAACTCTTGTCCGTCCGTTTGCAGAAAAGGAAACTGAGGCCGGAGGGGTTGGGTTGCTGGCCCAGGTCGTCCGGAGGAGGAAGAAGAGGCTTTGATTGCGGCCCCCACCCCTTTTCCGTTCCCCAAGGCCGCTGGGGGGGGGGGGTGGAAGCGGAAGGAGGACTTGACCTCGGCCGGCCCCCCAGGTGAGCCCCCGCGCCCCTCCTGCTGTTCCCGGGGGAACGGGTCCAGGTGAGGGGCGGGTGGGCCGCCGGGCGGCTGGGGTCGGGTTTCAGGAAATCCGCCGACATTCCTTCGGGGCTTAAGAGGGAAAGTTGACTCGGCGCCGCCCCTCTCCCCCCTACTTCCTACCCCCCGGGGCGGCCCGGGCGGGGTGGGGGGGGCGCTGCGGCCGCTGGGCGTGAATCAGCGGCGGCCCGGGCATCCGGGAAACGGCGACCGAGGTCAAGGAGGGCAGCGGACAAGCGCCCTTTGTCCCTCACCGCCCTCAGCACGACCCCGTTGACCCCCACCCCTCCAACCCTAAGTCCGTACAAGCCATGGGGGCGGAGGCGCGGCACCATGGCGCCGGCGCTCACTGGGTGTGCGTGGGGGGAAGGGCAACAGCTACCCCCCCCAAAAAAAACTGGCGATTCCTAGGACCCAGACTTCAGTTCTCCGGGGTGCAGAGGGGACTGGCAACCCAACTCCCCACCATCTGGTTCTCCTGGCCAGAGTAGGGTGCCCCAGCTTCTGAAGTACCACCTCCCATTCAGAATTTTTGAAACTCGGGTGCTTTGGGCCTGGATGCCAGGCCTCTGGGCTCCCAGGCTCAGGGTGTTAAAGGATCCCTCCTCCTTCTGGGTCCCACCTCTGGCTCCAAGGATCTTTAGCCTGACTCCCACTTCTAGGGTGCCTACAGGACCTAGACATCCAGACTCTCACCTGACACCTTCATGAGAGTGCAGGTGTGGCGCTCAATGCAGTTCATCTTAATCTGAGGGCCCTAGGTTCAGGTTCAGGTTTTAATCTGGGAGAGGCAGCTCATTCCCATTGACTCGTAGTCCCACAATCCCTGGGGGATCCTGTCAACTGGCCTAAAACCCTCCCTCAGTGCTCTAAAAGTAATCAAGGAGCTGGGTCTGAAGGACCACCCACCCAACCCCAACCCTCACCCAGAGAGAACAGGGCCCTCCCTCCTTCCATCTGCTCCTCAGTACATTCCCAGCCACCATCAAGGACTTCGGTCAATATTTGTCAGAAATTTTTGGTGCTAGAAGAGGCAATGGGACCAGAGAGGATGGGCTTAAGTCTCTGGGGGCACCAAGAGGAGAAAAGAGTGCAACTTGGAGTCACGTCCCTTGCCCTAAAGTCAGAGGTAGAGGGTCAGGGTTACCCCAAGGGGTACCCAGAGGGAAGGGCTAAGCAGCATCTGGAATACTAAACCCCTTCTGTGTGTATGGATCAGTGGGGTCTGGCTGGGACCTTGAGAAGCATATGTCAAGCTTTTTTCCTACTTGAAAGAACTAAAGTTTTCTCTTCGTCTTTTTAATTTGCCAATATTCATTAAAATCTGGTGTGGCCACACTGGGCTGACAATCATGACTCTTCAGGCTAAAGAAAAATACACAAAAGAAAAGAATTCTATGCCTGTTACAAAGACAATGAAACAAAGTGAAGGGAATGGAGGTGGCTGGAAAGATGACCATGGAGCTATGATTTTACAAAAGGGGGAACAGCATCCCTCCTCCATGGAACAGCCAATGTGCTCATGGCAGTAACAAGCTTAATTAATTTGGGGAACCAGCAGGGACCAGAGTAGCCTCAGCAGAGGGGACAGAGGAAGGAGTGGAGGGAAAGGCAGACGAAGAGATGCCCTGGTTTGCGACTTTGACAAGCTGCCTCGGAAGACGGTGCATAAGTTGGGAAGCAGGGCGGAGGCTGGAGTGATGCCCTGGAGAAAGACAGTGGGGTCTGGATGCAGTTGGGTGGGGAGAAAGGGTCAGAAGCTTTGAATCAGGATGTATTTTGGAATCAGAGCCAGCAGAATCTGCTGATGAATTGGACGTAGGGGGATGAAAGAAGGGGAGAGTAGTCACGCTCTCCTCCTGGTCCCCATTTGGAGCACCTGGGAAGACCGGGAGCCCTTTCCCGGGGATGGGAATAACTGGGGGAGGGGCAGAGTTGTTGGGAGGAAACATATCAAGGTTTTGCTGAAGTCTTCCAAGTAGGGGGTCTGGTCTGCCTTCACTCCCCTGACCCCAGAGCCTGGGAAAAGTAGAGGTGGTGGGGGAGGGACTGCATATGCTAGAATCTCAATTTTAGCCGATGAGTTGCCACTTCCACTTAACCTTATGGTCCACCTGGCAGGTGTACCTATGGCCCCATCTTCCAGAGGGAACAAACTGAGGCCCCGAGATCATATCACTACTAGTGGGCAGTGCTGGGGTCCTGTTGCGTTACATCCTCCCACTGAAACTTACCAGTTAATTGGGAGTCACCCAAGGTGCAGAGGGAAAGCAGACTGTAGTGGCCAGGATTGCCCAAGTAAAGGCAGTGTACCCTCCCCAACTTTACTCCTCCACACACCCCTCCCTGTAGCGTGGTACGCTGAGCGCCCCCCAGTCCCCTGTTCTATTTTTGAGTCTGGGTCTGAGCGGAACCCAATTAGAAAGGGACTCTGGCCTCCATCTCAGATGCTTTAACGCACTTGGCAGGAGGGGGTCCCAGCCTCTAAGGGAACCTCTGAAAGGAGGTGACTCACAGTCCAACCCTCACGGAGGTGGGTTGCGACCCAAACTCATGGCTGAGGCTCCCGGGAAGTCCTCGTGCCCACTCCGAGGCAGCCTTCAAGCTCTAAGCCCAGAAACCCTTTATTCATGGGCGCCCTGATTGGGTGGGGACGAAAAGGAGGGGGATGAGACGCCTGGGACGGGAGGGGTCCCGAAACCCGAGCGGTGGCCAAAAATAATAGCGCCGAGAAAGATCCCTGCGCAAAAGCAGGCAAACTATGCGTCGCTCGGGGCGGCCGCGTTACCTGGAGTCGGGCGGGCGGCGGCCGCCGCAGCAGCGATTACTCACCGCATGGCGCACCCCACCCGCGGGCCGCTGAGAGTATTTTTCCGCGGGGAGGGGGTGTCAGAGAGCCAAGGGGGGGTGTCTCTTCTCCCAGAAACCCCTCGCACAGCGCGCGCTGGATGCAATCCCCCAGCAGGCCCTGGACCCGCTCCCACGGGGGCGCACGCGGGAACTCCTTCTCGAAGATCCCCAGCTCAGTCCCGCGCGGAGGCTACTCTCTCCCGTTCTTCCCTCCAGCAGAGCCTTGGCCCAGGCTGCGCGCCGAGGAGCGCAGGAAGCGGGATGAGTGGGGAGGGCGGGGACGCTGGGCCCAGGCCCGTGG